GTGTAGCCTTCGATAATACTGGCGGCACGCCTATGTTGCTTATCCAAGTACTCTCGGTCAGCCTTACTGCAGGAGTACCATACAACAGCGCAATAGTCGAATACTGGAAGTTTCACGGCGTTATTAAGTGTTAAACACGACTCTCGCGGAATGACCTTGCGCGCTTTACGAAGGCATGCCGAGCTTTGCCGATATTTTGCACCCGATGTAGTCTATGTGGTCATTCCACAAGAGGTATGGATCGAGCATAACGCCGAGATACTTAAGACAGACTCGTGACGGGACAGTGTCCCATGCTCTGACTGTGAAACTATCAACTAGGGCAAGCCTCTGATGTGTACCAGTCAACATTACCTTAGTTTCGCTATAGTTAAGGTAGAGGAAGTTATTATTAAGCCACTCTATTATATGCTTAAGATCTTCGGATGGCATAGATTCTATGTCGGTGATGGAACTACTGCTAACGCCAGTAGGAGGGTATCATCCGCATACAGTTGGATTTTACAATGCTTTACCACCGAGGGTACATCGTTGATGTAGATTATAAATAACAAGGGACCGAAAAGGATTGGGGATTAGATGTTGATCCATTCACTACAACGCTTTGTGTCCTATCTGACAAGTCAAGTGATGGTTGGGGTAGCGAAAAACCAAAAACAAAAAGTCGAGCAAGAGAAAATGTCCCCCCAAAAAAATTAATCAAAGTGAAACCCAAAGGAAAAAAATTCATACATGACAAAGTGCTCAACCTCTGTGCACCTCGATTAAAAAGTGGAGCAAAAGAAGCAAGGCTGATTATAACCTGAGATCAGGCCGAATTTTAGCAGTTCTCAGCATTTTCTCTTACGAAGTCTCTTTTCGTTTCGCCTTGCCCGCCGGATAGGACTGATATTACCAAGGATTCACAAAGGATAGAGAAAATTTCTCTGTTCTTGCTACCAACTGTTCGCTTTGGTAAGCCCACCCGGTTTTGCTTTATTTACTATTATATCCACGTGATTCGACACTTACTTACTCACTTACTTACCGATACTTACTTTCTTGTGCTATAGCAGCTATAGTTTGTGTCCTAGTGTGTTTGTTTCTTTGTTTGTCTTTTTTTTTGTTTTTGAAGCGATCTGGGCTGGTTTTGCGATCCTGTCCTGTGTCACTAAGTCCGTTTGACTTTCATATAGAGAGCTCGAAATGCTGTGATAAGTGAATTTCCGGTCTAGCATAGCGCACGATCACCTAATTTTGAGGCCCCTGATTCGTGTTTCTTTCGGAAAGTATTCGTGAAAAAACCGAATCGAATTTAGCTGCTAATATATCTATTCATATAGTGATCCACATTGCAACATGCCAAACAATGATCTTGAGTGGAGAACGCATTTTCTCAGGCTGGGCTGATATGTTTCTAAGACCGTGTTTACATGGAGTGGGGGACCCCGGTCTAGTGGGGAAAGTTTCTTTTGTTTTGTGCCCCCCAGAGCGTGAAAACAAAAGAAACCAACCCCACTAGACCGGGGTCCCCCACTCCATGTAAACAGGGTCTAAGATTGTTCTAAAGCTTTACCCGCAATCTTGTCAACGCTCAGAAAAAAAAACGTGAACTGAAACCGCACAAGACCTAACACTCACTGATTGAATTCCTGGAGATAATTTTCGGCAATAATGGATGTTAGATACATGATTCGTGATATGTAGGAAAGCAGGGTCCTTATTCGTGACTGGGACCTCCATTCAATGGCTAATTGAGGGATTAACTAGACTTGTTTTAACACTTATTTAATGTATAAATTAAATTGAAAGGGAGATCTTTATTTACAAAAAAGTCAAATTAGTGTATTTACAGTGGTCAATCTCTTCACGGTATAAAAACCGTGTACGAACAATCTTGCTCAACGTCGGATCCAAAAAGATCGTGATCACTCAAAATAGATAAAATTGAAGAAGACTTTTGCAGGGTCTGATCAAACAAGGTGAAACAGAGTTAAGTTGCGATATTTCGACTGGCCAATACCAGTCTTCATCAGGTTTATTGAGATATCACGAATTTACAGAAACATATATGAAGTAAAATAATGACCGGAAATTACACAATATGACGTGGTATGGTGTGGCTACTTAAAAAGACAAGATAACAAAAAATAAAAAGATATACTATATATAGTTACAGTTCGTCACGTTTATTGATGCCCAGAGGCTCAATTGTCTTAGCTTTATGGATAAGGTGGGCTTCACGTGCTCTCCTGAAAGAATCACGCCCATTTTTAAGTTTTTCAATAGGAATCAAAAGCATATCATTGTCGGAATGCATATGATTGCTGGTAAGAAAGTGTTCTGAAACTGCAGTATGGATGTAATTACCAGTAGGGTTGAGTATAGGTCGTCTGTGTTCATTAAAACTGTCTTTGAGGCGACGTTTAGTTTCTCCAATATATTGTAGATTACACAGGCGACATTGAATCAAATAGATAACATTAAAAGTGTGACAAGTGATATAAGATTTACTTTATACAACTTTATTTTCAAAAACGAAAAAAACTTAATTTACAAAAAAAAAAACCACTTACTTAACTTTTAGCAAAAATCACTAGGAAAAAACGAATTCGCCAAATCCGGTACAAGCTGATAGCATGCATGAGATCAAGATGTCTGTAGCACAAAGTATAATTAGTAGTGTTTTAAACTAAGGGAAAAAGGGCATTGTTCATTTGTCAGAATTGACCGGCAGCCAGACCGTTCCCATTGTAACAAGAAAAACGGTAAGGTAGAGGCGCGCATGAGCCCAAGGCCCACACGGCCGGAGCTTACACCGGTTTCCATAGCATGAAGCAAGCCTAGGAGTATTGCTACTCCCCTACTGGACGGGATCCTAGTCCACCGCAGGGTTATAAATATCATGGTGTTGAAATAGATCAATCGTTAACTAGGAGAGATCATGTAGACAAAATTGCTAAGAAAGCTTCTGGAGGGATTGGAGTTCTGAGACGTGTAAGGCATCTCATACCTTATCATACATTAATTACGATGTTTAAATCCATTGTACTATCGTATTTCGATTATTGTAGTATAGTGTGGGGAAGTTGTGGGGAAGGGATGCGTAACAGACTCCAGACCCTCCAAAATAGACCTGCCAGGGTGGTAACGTCCTCTAGTTACCATAGGCGATCAGTTGAGATACTGGATGAACTTGGGTGGGATAATCTTGAGACACGAAGGACAAGGCAATTAGCCACAATAATGTATAAATTGAAAAATCACATTGCAACAGATCATTTGGCTCAAATTTTTAATGGTACAATCTGTATGTACTCCTTTACTCCTAATCTAAGGAACTCAAAACATAATTTGTTTCTACCAAGACTGTATACTGAGGCTGAAAAAAAAAACAGCTTCCACTATAGAAGAGCGGTTCTCTGGAATAGTCTATCAAACGCCGTAAAAGGACACACAAGCTTGAAATTATTTCTCTCGCATTTGTAATTTTAGAACCATTTTAATAACTATACTTATCTAATGTTATTTTATTGCATGATTTTTGCACGGTTCTCTGGAAGAGCATTTTTATGAATGAGATTCCGTGATTAAATGAAGATGATGATGATGATGATGATGATGATGATGATGATGATGATGATGACCCCCCAGCAGTATGTCGCCGGTACCCATTATACATCTGGGCAGACAACAAAGTGGAGTAAAATTCCTTTTCTAAGGAATCAACGCGACGGGCGAGGCTTGAAGCCCGGACCTCCAGATCCAGAGTTCGAGGTGTTAACCGCTCAGTCACACACGCCTCCACGTTGTAATGAGAACTACTCTTTTAACTAAAAATGTCCAGCCTGAGATGAGTCAATTTGTGAATAATATGCATCGGTTGATATGTATTAATTTTAGCCAAAACTCCTTTAAAAAGCCTATTTCAATTACGAAATAACCGGTCCGGCGCCCTAACACTAGTACGTTTTAATTTATTAGTTAATACACTATAGCAAATTATAAAAAGACTCTCACGAAGTAACTAATTTTACTATAACCTATATGTATTACTTGATGTACCAAAATAGAGGCAGTGGCCTTGGTAATATATTAACATACAATGGTAAGAAAAATACTCTGATAAATTACTTCTACTATATTAAAATACTTACATAGTATGATAAGGAATTGGTGTTCCCCAGCGACGAGGCGTAATTAGAGGCTTCTGTATTCGCAAACTAGTTAAGGATTGCTGTCATTCAGAAATTAGTCTTAAACATTAATAACTTGTCAATGAAAGAGTTATTCGAGGCTGAAAATATTTACAGATTGATAAAAGCGCACCAGAAACAGGAACAATTCTTAAAGAACAAACTCGATTAGAAAAGTCTTTGACTAAGTTCTGTGTTAAGGAATATCTTTAAAAAGGATTGATCCTATACGAATAAATTCTACTCAGTATGGAACCTGACACTGAATATTTTCAAAGACTGCAGGCAAGGAACAACTGGAGCAAAAATTGTTCTTAACCTCTAAATACTAATGAAATTGCTAGGAAAAGAATTTTGACCTGTATACTGACAGACGTTAAAACCGAGTGTTCACACGCTACAGTCACAGTCATATCATCAGCGACATGACTCAAAGAGAGAGAAACTAGGTAATCATTAGTACACGTATTTTCCAAGGATTTTTACAACAACAGGGTCTAATGGTGGAGTATTTACAGGGCACTGCAGGCAAGGTGCTGGCCCTAAAAACCAAGTTCTATTAAGAAAACTACAGTAATTTATCTAAGAAATTGAGGAGGCTGCATGAATTGTTTTAGGCAGAAAATTTTTTTGCTATGAATACTTAGTCTATTAAAACGGCTAATCGTACCGTCATAAGAAAATTGGCGGATTAAAAACTGAAGATGTGAAAAAATAGACGGCTTGTTTCTGGCCAACATCTTCAAATAAGGTACCACAATAATGGTTCAGTCAGTTTTTCCACTCAAATGTCTGCAAGGTCGTAATTCTTGAATCGCAGTATAATCAGTCATCTTTACCTCCTATCTGTGGAATAAGGCTAACATAGTGAAGTTCGTGCAAGCGACCCAGCACCAGCCGGTTGCTACTAGTAACATCATACTCTGGGCAGATCATTACGTCATGGCGATGCTGCAGACTGCTAATTACATGGATGCACGTTTGAAAACAGTTTGCCGCGCCGTGTAGAATCACGTGATCACCCCATGTACCATCTGCCATCATACTTGTGAGGTAGGCTTCCCAAGATGGATATCCATCAACAAAATGAAACAGTTCTGTCCCATCAGTCTGTAAGAAAGAAAATGCTGTAGTTAATAGAGAAAAAGGTAGAGTGCTTTTGTAGAAGGTATATATTCAGGCAGCTGCGCTGTCAGCTCTCTTTATAAGACGACACCATTAGTATCGGAACTAGAAATCATATGTCCACCTCAGTAGTATTAAGGACACACCAGTTAGACGTCTTTTTTACAGTGAAATAAATTAAGTGGATGACGTCTTTATCTCCTTTGCGCGCCAAGAATCAGTGAACCGGAACCAGAACAATAAAGCTATGATCATACTATACCAGATAAGCTTTGGTGACGACACGAAAAGCCATCCAGTATAGTGTGAATTTCTATTCGATATGTGACTCTCCACTTTAGAGATCGGCACGGCCTCATTCCCTTTCGTAATCAATCATTTCCATTTTTAACGGGCGATGCCAGCATTAGTAACCAAGCCTTTAGTCATGATAGATGTAATGTAGTCCCTGCATTTAGTTACAAAAAGGCAAATAATACGTTTTTGAATAGTGCTAGAAAACGGCGTTGGAGCCAAGTTGAATTTTCGTTAAAATTTATTGAAAGGGCTAGGGTCACCTGTTATTGATGTAACAGTTAAGAAAGACAGTTTGTTAGTGTATGTACTTAATTTTTTTCAGTATTTTGGTGGGTCGGTGGGGTAATCTAGTGGTAAGGGAGAGAGATTAGGACAGGAAAGGTCCGGGTTCGAGGTCCGGGTTTGACCCTGGGTTGCGATTTTCTTTCTTTTTTATAGAAACACTCTCAATAACAGATCAAAAATTTCCCTAGTGTCTGAAAAATTGCAGCGACCGTTTACGAAAGGGACAGCTGCATCGGCGCGTTAAAGAAATCGCGCCGAAATCACCGTTCTCATGTGTGAACTGAAACCCCATCCAGTATGATTTTCGTGCCGGCGTAAAAGCTATACCGTATAGTGTGAAGACAACCTGAGATGTCTGCAATGGGGAAAGAAGGCGCCATGGATCAGTGATTTTAAGTCACAGGTGTCTTCATGACCAAATAAAGACATGACACACACAATCTGGACTAATCTATGTCAATATAAGGGCATGATCCCTACAAGTTATATAAATGGATGTACAAAATACTACATAAAAATAGCTCGTGGCGTTTTCTTAATGAGATTTCACCACATTTTATTCACGAGACAGAGATATCATCATTTTTTCCACTTCATTTTAATGAGATTACACTACAAAAAAAGCGGTCTAACCTGTGCACCCTATACTATTCTCCTTAAAAATGTAAAAAAAAAAAAAAACAGTAAAGAACGGCAGAGACCAACACTTTTAGGGAGGGGGAGTAGGTTTAGGTGGTTTAAAGGGAGATGTCCGTTACACGTGTAAGAGAGAGAGAGAGGGGAGGGAAGGGATGTTTACTGTTAAATTGTTCACTATTATGTGACGCGCCACGCGCATATACCGCAAATATATCCACTCTAAAAATAATAAAAAAGAAAAAAAGGTACTTACCAGCTTAGGGTTTTCCCGAAGGTGTTTGACAATAGTTCGGCGTAACTCATCATGGGAGATTTTGATTCCTTTGATAAGGTCAAGCTGTTCTGAAAGTGCAAAAAACATGCAGTTTCCCTCTCCTTGATTGTCAGAAATTGCAAAACCTTTTTCCAACGCAGTCCTCTTCAAAGCCTGCGACAGCTTAGTTTTGCTGGACTCTATGCGTGCTTCCCGTATGATTTGTTGAAGTGCAATAAAAAAGGGTTCTCCTGTAAACGGAAAATGAAAAAAAATTAACGTAAGATAGGGGTTATTTCATGCCAGTTCAATAGGAGATGGTGCACTGGTCTGAAGCTCAAAACAGCAGACAATTTCAGCAAAAATTACTGTGGTCTCCAAAGAACTAAATGATTTCACTCTACTGCAAAATATATTTTGGCTTTGGTTTGATTCTCAAAGCAAACAATGGCATTACCTGCCATCGGTCCTGATGCAGCATCCTTTTCAAAGTCATTCTGTGGAACGTCATCTTCTTGGGTTTTTTCAACACCTGTAAAGTTTAAAATAAGCAGGAGAGGGAAACAGTTAGTTTACGTCAGTTTACTTGGAGATGCACCCCAATAATTGAAAGTCCCCTGGTTGAACAGAAGAAAATCTTTTGTCTTTGGTTCAACTGACAAAGCAAACAATAACATTACCTGCCATCGGTTCTGTCGAAGCGTCCTTTTCACAGTCTTTCTGTGGAACGTCATCTTCTTTGGCTTTTCCAAGACCTGTGAAGTTATAAAAAGCGATGATCTATAGAAGAAAAATGTCACTCTTAAAAAAAAAAAGATTTCAACCTCAGAAGCCCCCTTTTCATTTTTTGTGACAAATTATAAGCCAAAAGTTTAGCTAGTCTTTTTTTGCAACGTTCTTTTTATATACAAGAGAACACCACCATTGCTACTGCATTTGAATAGAAATCAAATGACTTTGATGTATCGCAATGTTATGGATTTTAATTTTCATGTATCGCTAACTCCTTTAAGTGTAGCAAACATGTTTTAAAATTATAAATAAAAGTCTTAAAAATGAAACTGATAAGTAACACAAGAGGAGTACGGAGAACGGTGTAGAGAATGTGAATGCCATGTGAATGCCAAGGTTAAAAAGGTCAACGGCAATATTTCTTCAGCGATGCACATAGACCACGATACATAATATAGTAAAAATGTATTTATGCACTCGCTGTTGCAGCGGCAATGGACATATACAATGTGATATCTTACCATAGACCATCTTCCACATTCTGGCGACAAGGGCCTGGCACTGTCTCTCCCAAGAGAATCTTTCATCATAACTTCTTCGCAGTCTTTGGATTTCCTCAAGCCGCTGTGTCCTTGATTTTTGACGGATGGCTGCAATTGCTTTTGCCCATTCTTTGGGGTCATCAGAGTCGATCACAAATGACTCACCCACTGGAAGTTTGCGCAGTATTTCTCCAAATCCGGAGTTTGCACTAACCAGAATGGGAAGACCAGCTGACACGGCCTCCAATGCTGTCAAACCAAACCCCTCAGTTCTTGATGGCATGATGGCCAGATCGACAGCACAAAACAATTCTCTCAATTTTTGTTTGTCTTTCACAAATGATCTAACAATCAGCTGGTTCTTTGAAATGCCAGTCTGGAGTAGGTTTTCTGCGACTTTATCCTGCCTTCCCTTAGATGCACCAGCGAAAATCAGAATATAGGAACTGTCCTTCAGTTCAACTATGGATTTAGCGGCAATGTCGTATCCTTTAAGACTAAAGTCTTCCAAATCACCGCGACCAAAGGTCAATACTCTGAAATTTACACCATCATGTGCAGCATGTTTAATATCTGAAAACTCTGCAAAGGAACCTGGTATCAGTTGAAAGATATCTTGATGATATAAACGCAACTTGCACGAGAACGCTTCTTTTAACTTGGGTCCAACGGCTGCAACGAGGTCTGCATTTTCACAAAGTGCAACTTCAGCTGTGTTCTTCTCTTCTCCCTTGGCAATCGCACTTGGATAGTTCTTATACATCGCCAGCTCCTCAGGCTCAGTGTGAACAACCTGCACCCAATTGCATTGATGAGATTTTCTGATAACTTGCGCTTGTTTGCCAAGCTTTGCTCCATGGCCGATCACAACCTGAATGTCAAGGTCCTCTGGTGGAACGATCAACCAATCAAGAGGATCACTGAAGCCAGGAAGATGCCCTGCTTCTATGATGGAGATGTTGTAACTTTTAGCCTCTCTCTTGTCTTTTTCTCCACACTCAAATTCAGGTACAAGAATGGTCACTTCTACGTGTGGGTCTTTTGCCAAATGTATGGCAAGAGTTCTGTTTATTGTTGACAAACCACCCCTAGACGACCCCCATTCGTTCGCCAGGAGAGTAACTTTCAATATCAAACGTTCTGAATGACCTTGTTCAGCATCATATGATGATGATGATGGTGGTCGTGATGATGGAGTACACACGTCCTGTACAGAAACCAAAATTACATATTTTAAAATAGAAAGTGTACACCTGGGGTGTTTACCGCTTTGAAAGAAAGTTTGCAAAACATGTTATCATCAAGTTAGAAGCTATAAACTTATCGTTTTAAAGTGAAGCAAAGAGCTTGTTAAGAAAGACTTGAGAAACGGTTATGAATACCGACTGCTACGGCTGCAGTAGGTATTTAACAACAGAGTTGATGATGTTAATTGACTACTGTAAAGAGATTCTCAGTTCAGAGCTAGCCATTTGTCGGGCAAAGTGCTAAAAGAACTTGAATAGAATTTTGAGTCACATATGGTAACCAACTGAACTTATCAAATTACTTGATTTTAAGAACTATTGCTTGCTTCTTTTTACCCAGCGAGAGACTTGTTGTAGGTTAAATGAAGGCCTACGTTGTACATTATTATAACCTAATAATGACACACACAAACTTTGTTGAAGCTTTTTAAGTATAAATAAATGAGTAGCCTTTCAGTAGCATAATATCAATTTAGTAGTAATATGCCGTAAAAGTCCGAAAATACGCTCCCAAGCTTATATTTTTTGTATATATATTTTTTAAAGGCCCTTTTTGAGGGGCTTACATACGAAGGGAAATGGGAGGGACATTTGCGTCTCAAAATCGATTGGGCTAGATTATAGTTGGAAATAAATTTATGTCAGTAATTTGCACGAAGGTTTTACTGAAATTCGCCATGGGGACCAAGGTCTTTCTAAAACTCAGCCATGCGAGTACTTTGGCTATATGGATCGAAGAAATTCAAGCCAAGAGTGAAGAGTGAACTACGCAAACGGCAATACACTGTGACACTTCTTGATTGCAATCATTTGGCACGAGGAATAGTTCTTTGGCAAATTAAAAACATTATGCGTTACTGTACCGTTTTTAACTTGTTTTATTTTGTATTTGAGGGCAATTTCAAAGTACAAGCCCCGGGAGGCTTATATTCGGGTGTGGCGATTTAATGGAGGGTTTTAACTACGAGTTTGGGGGATTATATTTGGAGGGGCTTATTTTCGGAATTTTAGTCAACATTCCATTTACATGTAACATGCCAACAGCACTGATAGAGATGGGATTTCAGTGCCACCTACCTTACTTGGTGTCTGTGAGAACCATTTTTGCTTTCCTATGACTGTGAGTACTTCATCTGTAGGTTTCTTTTCGCAAGTCAGATGAACGCCATGTCTTACCTCAAGAAGGTGAAGACAGTCTTCATGAGAACATGCAATCTGATTATGCCTTGAACACTTTTCCCGCTGACAATACGGACAGGCGACCCGAATATGATACTGCAATCCACCTTTATAGAGATCACGTGACAAAGCTTGCAATGTTGCCCCCACAAACTCACGAACCTGCACTGCCACCTCACTTGTCTCATCCACAGAGATCTGCTGAGGGTGGTTTCTTTGCTTGATAAAGAACTTAATAAACTGCTTCTTACAAATAAGAACAAAATCATGGACAGTTTGTTTCCCAATAACGAACCACGCTCCATTTTGGTACAGGATAGGGGGCTGAGTTAGACCAGCCTCAGAACACCAATGGACAGAGCGAGAAACAAGCCGAGTGAACAGACCATGGGGAACAGAGCCGCTGACGAAGTAAACAAACAGGGGACAAGGGTCGAGGGTTGTGGGCGCCAGGGAACAAAGAGAATCAGGCGACGCTTTGAGTTGAGATGGAATAAAGTACTTTTCTCCTGTCTTTGGAGACGAAAATTTTGCAATCAATCCAAATTGTTCCATCAAATCAAGAAGGTCTTTTCTGGCAATACCCTTCAGGAGAAAGTTGGAAAACACATGATCAACCAGTTCCATGGAGAGAACACCGCTTTCTTTAACTTCCTTCCAGTGCTTGGCAACCTTGGGAACCTAAAAGGGAATAAAGCGAAGCACAATAACAAAACTGTTTTAATAATAATAATAATAATAATAATAATAATAATTTTTTTTTTTTTTTTAATAATAAAACAAGACTTTATTCATAGATTAAAAAAAAAAAAAAAAAAAAAATAGACTATTTACAGATTCAAGAATATGAAATATTAAAATATATACCCTATGTACATTTTTCTTGTCTACGAAAGAGAATTGTTGTAAAATGACTATCTAAAGACTACTAATAACAATTATAAAAAGCATCAAAAAGTTGATAAAAAAAAAATAAAAACTATTTAAAAATAAAAATTCAAACTGATAAAAAGTTACTACTTAAATTCTGGCTTGCGCACTTTCCGATGTAATGTCAATAATAATAATAATAATAATAATAATAATAATGATGATGATGATAAATACATATATGCACATAAACATGATGCACGATACATATTTGAAAAGGTGGACCGTGAGGTTATCCCTATAAAAGATTCCCTAACTGAACTTTAGTAGAAATATTAAAAAATTAAAAAACGCGCGCAAAAATCAATAGTGCAGGTACAAGATAGCTCAGAAAGACACCGAGCCTTATCATGTTGTAATCACTTGGCTCAGGACACAGATCTCGTTTGAACTCTTAAGATCGGTACATGCATGCGTCAGAGGTTCGCGAACGCCGTTTCGTAGCAAGATAGAGCAATCATTAGACTGTAAAATAAATGCCGCTAGTGCGGATATCTGAAATACGTGTCTATATGCTTTTACTTAGGGCTTTTTATGGACACTGGTTTAGCCGTCATTAGTATAATTCGATTGTATGATCTTAATATCTCTGCATAATGGAATTCTTAATTTTATAGAATTTGGAACTTTCATTATTAATTATATCTATTTCCTCTTCTTTTATGTAAGGTTAAGTTACTTCTATTTTTTAGAATTTGTAAATGAATAGTTTTTTCTTTCTTCACTTATTATATATAGGATTGTTTTTGTTCTCTAATGAAGGAATTGTTTTTTATAGTGCAGGTACAAAATGGTATAGTAAGTATGATATTTAAAATGAAAATATATACAGTTAGAATATGAGCTACAGGTTGTGTTTTCACTAGGGCGATTAACTAGCTGAACATTCTTTCTAGGATTTGTTTACAAACCGAGTTTTACTAGTTAAACGTGATAACTGTTTTCACTGTGGCAATCTAAGCCACTAACTCAGAGGGTTCAAATTGGAAAAGCGCGCCATAGTAATAAATGAAAGGGGACGAAGTGCTTGTAATGACTTCTCGTGTGATTATTTTCGCTGTATTTTTGCGAAGGAGAAGGAGTTTTATTCGGCAAATGAGGCTTATGTCCTTGCAAATGAGGAAGATGCGACGAAATCTTTTAATTCTGTCAATGCAACAACGAAACAATATTCAGTGCCATAACTGGGATAAGCGCAAGACTATGTGGGTTTATCCAAGACCACAATTCTGGTTTAAGGATCTGGCCGAAGAAATAGACAATGCAGTGGGGTCGGTGGGATTGTAAATCGAAAGAAATGACTGTTGGAATTGTCTGCCATGTTGAATTTCTCAAGCTCAACCAAGAAGCAATAGCCTCTGGAAAATAATATTACCGGATTATTTGGCAGGCGTCTGTCACTACGCGCGACCCGATTGGCTACAGCGTTTATCAGGACAAGTTATACCATCTCGCGAGGTAGTATAACTCTGCGTGAATTTACGCTCGTAAAGGCGAGAAAATCCCTTGTTTTTGCTTGTGAAAACAGCTTGCATTTTTAACTAGCTAAAACCAGGACGAGGTGTTTTCACTGTATTTCCGGACTTTTCCGGCTTTATCTAGTTAAAATTGTCCTAGTGAAAACACAGCCACAGTGTCACTAAATCTTCATCCATCTTTTACAGCCTTTTTTAAATTTGTTAACGTTAATTTCGTCTGTGAAGAGATGGTTCGGCAAACTGTTCCAGTCTTTGACAATTCCCACAAAGAAGGAGTACTTAAAGGAGTTAACTTTAGCTAATTTAGTTTGTATTTTGTATTTTAAAATAGTGTTATTGTAGGAACATATTAAGCTACTTAATTGCTGCAATTGCAAATCGTTGGTTATTTTATGTTTTAAGTAAACAAACAAAGAAAAAGATCTAGAGTTTTCCGTTTATCGTGTGTGGAAGGATAGAAAATAAAAGTCTCGTAGTCTGCTTAGAAAGTACCACTGTGTGGATAAAAGAAAAGAGGATAGCCTTTTAAGCAGTCCTCCGTTTGGTTCGTTACACAATTCTTTCCATTCTGTGGGAAGATTTACGAAGTCAAGTTTTCTTTTCTTTACAACAGTCTACCACAACCTCGCGAGCTAAGGGAAAACAATAGAAATGTGGTTGTGGTGGTGAATAGAAACAACAGAAATGTGGAAAAGGAAAAAAGGGATGTGGGAAAGTGAAAAATTGTTTTTCGTGATAGAAAGGGCTAGTTTGCCTTGGTGCTCATTACATATTCACGATTTGCGCGCAAGGAAACAATAAACCGCAACAACTTGGAACAACTTGTTGTTGAACAATGAGAGCGGTTTGAAATGTAACTTGCATAACGTAAACTACGTTACGAATCAGTGATTTTATGTCAAGGCGAGTTAATTAGCGCTTATTCCTTCGACAACCTCAATCAACCAATGAATATTTTCCCTAGTTCTTACATGTAGTCAACCAATCAAAAAACAAGACCTTCATCTACCAAGAAATAACTGGAAAACCGGTCCAACAAGTTGAAAAAAACACACGACATTATTTTAGGGCCTGTTTACACGGAGTTAGGGGACCCCAAGCAAGTGAGGTAACCCGCTTAGGTGGGGTGGTAACCCGCCTGTCCAAATAACCTCTCATTTTAATTTGATCACGTTCAAATGATAGGTTGGGTGACCAGCCGCGGGTTACCTCACCTACCTGGGGTCCCCACCTCCATGTAAACAGGCCTTTAAAGAGGTTTAACCGCATTTTATTCATGAGATAAAGACAAAAAGTTATGACGTCATAGGCGTTTACGTATTCCAGCGAAGATTCCACAGCAAAAAAGGCTGATTCTGTGCCTAATATACTACTGGGGGTAGACTAGGAGTGGCCCCTTATTTTCCTCTTGGATATTTGAGCGAGCAAAATACAGGAGCGTTTGTCACCTTCTTCGCGGGTGGCAATTTTCACGCGCGCTCGCCTAATCCTCTCGTTCTACTATCCCTGAGGAAAACGAGAGACTACTTGTCACCTATTTGGGGAGGGCTGCTTGACGAGTCAAAAGGACCTCAGCGTAGGAGACAATACTGCTTGGTACAAGCTACACTCCTACGTTTTTTGTGTAGGTTGAGCAGTGTTATAAATTTTTCGAAATTGGCTCCGCGAGTGTGCATCAGTAAGGGCGGTGAAAACAGTTTTCCTTTATATATACGTATAGGTAATCACATGATTTCGAGTTGGAATAAATAAGCACAAGTAAATTTTTCAAAGACCAACAAAACTTTGTGGTCTTTGAAAAATTTACAAGTGCTTATTTATTCCAAATTGCACGAGAAAAATCATGTGATTACTTATTAATAATATACACGAAAAGCATAACTACAACAACAAATTTTGACAGCGCGCGCGTTTTAGATCATTCAACTGATTGGCTGAAACAGACTACTACCTTTGTCAAATTCAAACTTTTTCAAGACCAACGCTTTCAAAATCATTCAGCTAAGAACTTGGAAATGTGCAAGGATTGATTTTATATGGTCACCATCTTGTTAAAGATAACTTGGTTCATAATTATCAGCAAAAGTAATTGTTTTTAAATTCATCCTCGATTATGAGAGCTCGGCGCTTACAAGAAGCGTTTACAAGAAATATACTACCGTTTTGAAATCAGGAGAACGCTTCGAGAAGCCAAAGATGAAAGACACTTGCTAAAGTTTTTTAACGGACTGTTCATCATTGTCTGTCCCTGAGACCCCATAATATCTGGAGTCATGGAGAAATTTTTTAGATTTAAAACCCGAAAATGGAGGAGACAATTTGTTTTCTTCCAACGCTGCCATCTATGGGTGAGTGGAGCCACAGTTAATGATAATAATAAGAAGAACATTTATATAGCGCCTATCCAGTAATAGATCTAGGCGCTTAACAAAGTGAAAAAATTAGAATTAAAGTTAATTAAAATACATAGATTTAAATTTAAATAAAACACATATAAAATCAAATACATCTTCCTAATGACTAAAGTAAAAGTTCTTAAAAGGGGGAGGGGGGGAGTTAAGTTTATGCTTAAAAAGACTTAGATTCTCGCATGAGCGTATATCGTCAGGTAGTTTGTTCCAACGTTCAGGGGCTGAGACAGAGAATGCTCTAGACCCATTAAAGTTAAAGCTAACAGGATTCACACCGAGCGTAGAGGATGACCGAAGCTATCTAGAAGGTAAGTAACGGGTGATAAGGTCTTGAATGTAGGTTGGAGATTGCTGACGCAGAGCCTTGAAGGTAAGTAGTAGAATCTTGAATTTAATTCGTTCAGAAACAGGTAGCCAGTGAAGATCGAGGAGGATGGGAGTGATGTGATGACACTTGCTAGACCGTGTAATCAGTATGGCAGCTGCATTCTGCACCGATTGAAGCTTTTTGATGACGTTTTTAGGGACATTATATAGCAGAGAATTGCAGTGATCGAGTTTGGAAGTTCCGAAGGCGTGAATAAGAATTTCAGTAGTTTGCGTTGATACGTATTTCCTTATGCGCGAAACGGTGCGAAGATGATAAAAGGCAGATTTACAGACATTGTTTTCATGGGGAAGCATTGACATAGTGGTATTGAAGATAGCGCCAATGTTTCTTGCATGTGGAAAGGGCTTGATTATGTCAGTTCCAAAGTGAAGAGGGGGTAGGGATTGTTGTGGATTATACTATGAGAATAAGTAGAGAAGCTCGGTGTTGTCTTTGTTTAGTTTTAGTCTGTTAATGGACATCCACTTATCAATGTCGGACAGGCATTCCTCAATCTTAGTGATACTGTTGGTTAATTCCATGTCGTCGTTTGTTGAGAAAGAAATATACAATTAAGTGTCATGGACGTAAAAGTGAAATTGCATTTCGTGGAATCGTAGAATTTTGGCCAGTGGTGCTGTGTAGAGTACATAGAGAATCGGTCTAAGGAAAGAACCTTGCGGTACACCGCACTTGAGCTCGCGAGACTGCGATCTACACCCTTCGATTAACGCAAATTGCGAGCAATTAGTGAGGTAGGAGCGAAACCATTCAAGAGCTATGCCAGAGATAGAGTATTTAGAGTGCAATCTTGTAAGGAGGATATCGTGATCCACAGTGTCGAAGGCAGTGGCGTTTGTTCTAAGTTAGTAAACCAGCTTTCTAAAGTAAGACGTTGATAGTAGAAGACGTTATACATGTCGCAGAGTCCCAGTCAATTTGATGTTTCGTCTTTAAATGGTGCTCAGCAATGTGATTGTTGACGTCACCATTCCTCGTCGGTCGTTTGTGTTCGGTCAGTCGCGTGCTTAGTTTTCTGCCGGTTTCACCAAAGTAAGAAGCCTGGCAGTCGCAGCATTTGATCTTGTATACTGCTGCCTGTCTGTCCTCCGGTTTGTCTTTGTCCTTGACATTAGTAAGCAGTCGCCGTAAAGTGGTTATCGGTTTGTGTGCAACACGTATATTGTAAGGTTGTAATATACGTGCAATAGTTTCAGAGGTGCCTGTGATGTACGGTATAGTCACTGTCGTAACAGGGTCAGAGTTGGTCTGAGTGTTGGAATCTGTGTTACTGTGAGTGTTCCGTCTAACAAAGTCCGTGTTGTAATTGTTCTTACTAAAAACGTTGTTAAGATAATCAGTCTCGTCTTGTAGGCTGTCAGGTGAGTCACAAACTAGTTGCACTCGTCTCGTCAGAGTCCGGATAGTAGTAGCCTTGTGAGAGGTCGGGTTGTTTGAAGACTGGTCTAGTAATCGTTCGGTATGTGTCGGTTTTCTGTAAATAGTCGTTTTTAGTTTGTTGTTGTCCCGAGTGACCAAGCAGTCTAGAAAAGGTATCTTACCATTTTCTTCGATCTCCTTGGTGAACTGTATGTCCGCGTTCTGTCTGTTAAGGTGTTCGTGAAAATCGTCGATTCCGTCTTTGTGTACGGCGGTGAATGTGTCCTTTGAACGTAACGTAACCAAAGAGGTACAGTTCGTGTGTAGGTAGCTAGGGCTTGTTCCTCGATGTTTTGCATTACAATTTCTGCTACAACTACAGAAAGTGGTGAGCCCATAGCTGTACCGTGTAACTGTTTGTGGTGTTTGCCGTTGTACTGAAAGTACGTCGAAGTCAAACAGAGGTTGAGTAGGATAATTGGTAAAAGTAAATCGAAGTGCTGCTTTAGTGGGGTGGCGGGAAGCGGATCCAAAATACAGGATTTCATGATGATATTGTTAGCAATGTTCGACAGTTCGGTGTTGGATGTTGGTGCAAAATTTACAAGCTGACAGGTTATTGATGAAGTATATATGGTTATGAAGAAATCAGGAATTACAGGTGTACCAAGATTAATTTTGATATTGAAGATTTTCTGATGTCTTGCACAATGATTCGTAAACGTTTCTCTCACTTTCTTTAAGGCTAGTACCAGCTAGGGATACTTTCATTATGTTAGATATGGTATTTTCGCCCATTGGTTTAGTGTGGACCAGATGTTTAAATTTTCGGTTTCGTTTGCTACTGTCAGGTAGAAAAAAAGACCATCGCATGGAGGGGTCTTCGCTCCACAAAAGACTCAAAGAGAGAAACCGGACACCTTTCTCCTCCAACAAACAACGTACGTGACTTGAAATCCCTGTTGTTATCATGGAAAACTTGTATCCTTGTTCATTTAAATGCTTGAAAAGTGTAGCTGTCATGGTTTGCGTGTGGTTGCCACCGTTTCTGTTCTTTCTTTTTTTTCTTTAACGTAATCTGTTATAAGTAGCTTGTTTTATAGTTTCTCTGGCTCATTTTCCTCGATTTTGTTGACAGTATTTTTCTCTAAGCATCGCATTTTCAATACATTTGGCCAGAAAGACGTACTTTTTACTGTGTTTGGGTTTTTCGAATATTTTTTTAACTTTTCTATTGTTGTTTTGCGTCGTCTGCTGAAAACCATGGCCATTTTCTTCAATTTTTTTGTTAAAATAGCTCTAACCTGATTGGTTCTTGGTCATGTCTTGGTGGTTTCTTTTGCGTTTTCAGCCAATCAGAAACCATTTGTAATTTGCACTCGTGTTACAGAAGAACTGCACTCCTTTCTCAGCCAATCAGAATTGAGTATTTTTTTCGTGCATATTATTAAACATGTATTTCCACTCTGTTTGGTTGTCCAATTCCTTTGAGCCTACATAAAGGGTAAATTACAAGTAAATTGGTTATAAGCTCTATTATTGTTAGCGGGTGCCTCGTGATGTCACCTGACGTCCTTCGAAATTGAAACAAGAATCCTCTTGGGATATTACAACGTTCAAATAAGAAAGTGCGGTGAAAATGTTTCACTGTAATGTTTACTCTTAGTGACGTCAGTATAGCGAGTTGATTACAGGGACGACGGCTGACCAAGCTTTAGTACTAATTCAGTTGTTATAGGTTTGCTATAAGATTTTATTTCAGAATTACATCGCCTACCCTAACTGTTTTACACTGGGGAAATATTAAATAGCAGCCCAATCCACTACGAATTTGCTGTTTACAAATATTTGAGGAACAGTTAACATTTTCAAAAAGATAGCTAGCAATGCTCTTGATATAATTATTTTTATTAGCTACAGCACAGTTGGAAACCTGTGATGTCATCCAAAATGTGGACCATTATAAACCTTGCAAGTTTTAAAACACGTTTAAAATCCATTTCTTACCATTTTCGTAAAATCTGGAATAGTGATCAGCTGTCCGAACAAGTTTATCAGCCACTGGGCACTCAAGATGACTGTGCTACGGTGCTTGATAATTATCCCCAGGTCATGATAGAAATCCACCATGGTGGTAAACTCTTTCTTATCATGGATGAAGCACTTCTTCTTGGCATGGGTCCGTAGCTTCTTTATACTCAGGTAATAAACTGGCTTGGAAAGCAAAGCGTTGATGACTTTCTCAAAGTTCAGCCAACTAGTTTACAAAACCAAAGAGAAAATTGATATAGCTAGCTTTAAGTATCCATGCCACGACACAGTGTACCTGTCCTGACTAAAGTACAGGGCCCAGTTGTGCGAAAGGTGGATAACTGTATCCCCTGGAGAAATATCTGTGAGTGATCCACTTTACTTTACCTTTTTAAAACGACAATTGAAATGTACACAGTGCTTTTTGGTCAATTCGTAATAATGTTATCAAACCCTTTAGGGTAGAATATTCCTTAAGGCCAGTCAAAACTGCTTTTCATGGTGAACTTGTTTCAAACAACGAGATATTCATTTCTTATGACCGCCAGGTGGCTAATACGGGAATCACTGAATCTTTTCTGTTCTCGCTGTTTTTAACCAAAGTAAAGGACTATACAATGAACCAGCCTTTAGATGTATTGCGGTCACGCTTTTACATAGCGTCACAGTCACTGAGTTACTTAAGACACCTGAAACACATTGCACATAAAAGAAAAATCTTAGTTACAAGGACTGGTGAAAACAAATGCCATACACATAAACAGTAATTTCAGTGCGCTCACAGCTCAAACCTTCACAACAAAATTATCTAATATTTACTTTAATGGATTCTGTTTTTGTATAACCATTTTTTACCTTATAGGTATCCTCTCCCCAATGTAAGGCTCCCGTCTTAGCACTTCCATAATTTTGATTTGTAAAGCTTGGATCTCATCAATGTTTTCGTCTTTCCCGAAAACCATTGTCTTGATCTTTGTTTGAGTTAATTTTGCAGTGTTGTCAATGCTGAAGATAGGCCGCACCACATGTCCTTCATAGTCCTTACCAGCAATTGCGTTCTGGATTTCTGTTTTCATTGTTTCAATGTCTTCAAATGGTTTGTCTGCATGGGTTCCTACAATGATCACTGGGGGGCGCAAATGAGGCACCTCTTCTTCTACATCATCACAGGTTTTTCTTCTCATCTGCGCGACGCTGTGCACTGTGGACAGCCAAGACAACAAGTTCTCAAGATTTGTTTCTCCATTCGGGTTTACCAAATCGACATTACGAGACCCTTGCCTCACACAGGGCTTGGCAGTGTCATGCAGTGACTTGCTGAGGTTGCATACCAAGATGTACAGCGCACGTGATGATAAAAATACAGGATGAGATGCATAATACAAGTGTTGTCCAGCAAAATCCCACAGTTCAATACTGACAACAGATTCTTCAGCCTTAACATCCTCACCGTTTAATTCCCTTCTTAACCCTACAGCTCGCTCCTTGATCTCCTCTGGACATAAAGTAGTATCAACCACTAACTCATGATCAGGTCCTGTTAATGTCAGTTCACTAACACCGTCTTCGTTTGCATCACCTTCCTGTAACAGAGTGCGAAAAAAAGAAACAAAATAAATGTTGTTTCGGATTCTGAAAGACTTAAAATGGCTTGTTTGATTTTGATTCGATTATTCAGCCATTTAAAGTTGTTTCTGATGATAGAAAATTCTTTGTAGACTTAAACATGGAGACACGATTATTGGAGGCATGAGATATCCAAAACATTAATACGCTCTTGCATTTTTTAACAGTCAGAATTTAAGAAGATATAGAAAAAAATATTCGATTGAGTCCCCCAGCCCTTTGGCTTTGCTCCTCGCATAAAAAAGAAAACATCAGCGAAATTGAGATTAAAAACAACAAACCTATACTCAGGGCCTAATTAACACTTAAAAGTGTAAATAAAGATACGGCTACACTCACTTTGGTTTGCACACGCCAACCCAAAGGCTAAGCTTACGTGTAGATGGGTACAACATAAAATAAAACATAATGGCTGATGGTAGTATCATTCTACACTTAGAACTGAAATTACTAGACAAGTATAAAAACGCTGAATTTTTCACCGCCACTGAAAAAAAAAACGATCTTGCAATTATTACATATTTTCGACATGGACATTGTAGGAAAGGACAGGGAAGCCGAGGTAAATTTCTCACTAAAACCTAATTTATGAAGGCGATAATCAATTCATAATAATTACTGTTAACACGTTCTTGAAGTTACGCAGGATTCACGAAAAAGACTAACCTGGTTCACAAGAGAAGCTTCTTCCTTTTGTGCATCAGTACCAACCTGTTTGCTATTCTTGTTATAATCATTTTGAAGAATTGCATCACCTCTTTCCTCCTGCTGAACCCAAACACAGTTTTCTGAAATATCATACATCTTTTCCACCACCACCTGTGCCACATCTTTCGAACATCCTAGCAGCCCTTGTTTTTTCTCATCAATAGGTTGCCAATTTCTGACTTCATTAAAGTTCAACCGAAATTTTGAAGGATCCACTTCAATTCCATCAGTACTTTCTTCTTTTGAATTAAAAGGTAGACCAATGAGAGACTTCTTCAAACTTGTTTTTCCTGCCCGATCCTGCCCAATAAGCAATACTCGACCACGGTAAATATTAACAGCTCCATCTTTAAGAGCACTTTCATAAGCGAGCTGTGCTGCCATTTCTGGAGGAACTGGTGAACAAAACACCAAATGCTTATTAAAGGTAAGTAATGTCTTAGAGGTTGCGTAGTTCATTGGCTTCTAGTTCAGTTGACTGACCTAGGAGGTGGAGGGAGCGGGGGGCAGGCGGGTAATAGGCAGGTAATTTCCATCACAGACTTACACCAGTGTTAATTGTCCTTCTTGTGGTATTTCAGTATGGTCTCTTAAGTTTTTAAAACAAATCTAAGGTAAACATAATTTTACTGAATTTCAAATGTGAAAGATATAATTAACTGTTGGTTATTTTTGATACTTTTAAACAATCCAACTGCTATTTCAAACTTGATTTTTTACAGCGGTTACTTCGAGTTTCCATGCATACTCAAAAAACCATGAATGATCCTTAAAAATTAGTAGTATGTTTTGCGTCATCACTCTTCAGAATTGTAAGTGTTGTTTGCATTCATGTCAAATACCTGTCGCTCTAAAAGAAACAATTACTCTGAACATCAACGAACTACCTTCGTTCCAATAAGCGCCCAATCTCTAATAAGCACCCCTATTGCATAAGCACCCTTGTTCCAACCTGCGGGGGGTGGGGGGTTACTTGGGTTAATTTTTGTTGGGTATGTGCCGCTGGCCTCTCAGATCCGCGAACCCATTATAGTCCATACTGTGGCGATATTATAGACCCCATCTTAGTCACTTTTGGAAAAAAGAACATCCTAAAAATGATCTACCACATTTTTGTCAAACTTGGTGTGGTGTAAATCTTTCTATTTTTAAATCCTTACATACCTGAATTTTCTGACCCCCAAAATCCTGCAAATGTGCGACCCCGTTCCAGTAACTCTTATAAAAATGAAATCACATAATAGTCAATACAGTCGTGAAAATGCGGCCCAAACCAGCAGCACATACTCATGAGCCTACTACTAAGAAGTACCCCCACCCGGGCATTCAAAGCGCCCCAATACCAATAAGCGCCGCTATTCTATCACCGACTATTGTTCCATCCTATCGTGACAAGGTTGACCCGAATTCACGCAACCCGAGTGAACGGCCGCGAACGCTCTCGATTGTTAAAATCAGCAAAGGGCCTACAGCACCAAAGATAGTGCCAAAGTGTATGGTTTTGAATGCCCGGTGCCTGGTAAAACCTGACGCAGCCCCGGCTCTTTATGCCGAGCTTATTAACAATAACATTGATACCGTAATTCCTCGAATAATAGCCGGGAGCGATTACTATTTTTTCCCAACAAAAAGGAGTCGATTATTTGAGTGGGCGATTATTTCAAATATTGTTCATTGGAGGTCGTGCCCTAAATATTTTGTTTTATTATTCCATTAAACCAAAAATTGATAACATCAAATAAACAGAACAAAGGCTTTTTAAGTGTTCCAAATTTGGTTATTTGATTAATTTTAACGTCAATATCCTCGGCGCCCGAGCTTGAATTGTCACCATGTGGTCACTAATCAGTTTTGCTGGATCAGGCTCCACTGCAACTTGACAGGGAGGGGATAAAAGCAAGAGAAGATGGCGAGAGGGGTGGGGTTGGGCGATTATTGGAGGGAGGCGATTGTTTTAAACATTTCGGTCTAAGGAGGCGATTATTCGAGAGACGCCTTTTATTTGAGCACTGTTTTGTTTCGGAGTCATGGTTGAGTAAGATAATGTCACATTCGAATTGGCCAGAGGGCTATATTATGGTGAGGAAAGATCGAGCTGGCTCGCCGATCGGTGGTGGTGTTGCTATTATTTGTCGGAACGATTGGAAGGTTAAAGCGTTGAATGTCACTGATAGCTTGGAATTTGAGTCTTAGTTGGAGACCATGTCGCTTTGTAGACATGACGACCTCGTATAGCAGACGAGAATTCGCCTTCATGAACAAGCTTCGACCTCCAAATCAAGGGATTGCCAGAAGGAGCCATGATCGTAGACCTTTGCTAATTCCTGCTCATAAGGTGCCCTGCCCCTGTTTCAAGGTTCAAGAGTTTTGCTTCGCATCATAAAAGAAATAGACGCCCTGTTTCGAATAAGCGCCCTCATTTGAGAAACCATAAGTATATAAGGGCTCTGGGCACTAAATCGAGTCATTACGCTAAATAATTTAAGTCTTTTGTTTAAATTATTCTGTAGTTTGTTTCCTCCTCTCCAAGCATTATGCTTTTGAAGTGTTGGGAAGGTTTGATCCTAAAGGCTACGTGCTGGGCAGGTTTCAGGTGAAAGGCAAGACACCTGGCCGTCCATGTGAGGGGGGTGGTTAGACAATTCACTTACACTATGGCCGTGCATGCTGCAGGGAAAACAACAAAAACTAACTTGCCAAACAAACCTAAGTGAAGCTAAGTGTGACTTTTAATTTTGTTAAATGGTATAACAAATTTCAGACCAGTTATTGTTTAGATCACGAGAAGTACTTTCTCAGGCTTAAGCCAAGCCACCTTTTCTAATTTGAATCTTGAACAGCTCAAAACTCTTCATCCTTAATGGTCTGTTTATTGCTCTGTGACAATAATTTTTTATTTAATACATATTGTGTTCCGCGGCCAATCTTCCATAATTATAACATGACAATATTACTTCATCCATTAAGTGAAAAATGGCTTTAAGACTCTGCGGTTGTGTTTTCACTGAGTTAATTTTAGCTAGATAAAGCCAGAAAAGTCCAGAAATACAGCTAAAACACCTCGTCTTGTGTTAGCGAGTTAAACATGCTAACTGTTTTTTCGGCTTTATGACCGAAAAATTACGAAAAGTTAGACAACCACGCGAGATGGTGCAACTTGTCCTCATAAATCAGAATCTCGTTGCGCGTTGTGACAGACGCCTGCCAAATGACCGGCGAAATGAACATTTTATATTACTAGAGGCTGTAGTGAAGGGCTACCACCAGAGCCCATTTACAATAAGGACGGGTGAATCTTTTGTCCTCGATGAATAAATCGACAATTAATAGGTAAGACTTTTAATTACTAATTCGTAGCCAGTGGTAGCGCAAACGTATCTGAAATCATTATTAAAGGATTACAATTGACAATCGATAAAATGGATGAAAATTGATGACATTTGTAAAAATTGATCCTCACAATTTTTTAGATCTTCGATATTTATCGATTACCGATATCAATCGCTTAATTAATATCGTTTAAAATCGAATAGAAGCCATTATTTCGACTAAAGAGTTTCATCGATTTGGCACGGCGGGTTAAACCTACGCTACTTACGGCAATTATTGCTGTTTTGCTGTTACATTTTGAAACAGGATTACAACATTACTTCCTATCCTCTTACTCTTTAGAGACACTATTCAACTGCATTCATAAAATAGCGAGAAGCATTAAACGAAAACACATTCAAAGCGCTTCGTCTCTTAACATTTTTTAATGTGGCGCGCTTTTTAAATTTGAATCCTTTGAGTTCTTCCGAGCTAAATTTAAAAGTGAAAACAGCTAGTAATCGTCGGTATGTCAACAAGCACCCAGAAAAAGTGTTCCGTTCAGCAGCAAATTGACCACAGTGAAATCATAGCCTCCCCCGCAGGCGTTTCTAGGGGAGCTCGTATTTCTTCCCTCTCCGAAGAAATACTAGCCTGCTAACAGCAGACGTATTTCCGGTCGTCGCTTCTGTCCCTACGAAAAATAAAGAAGCGACGACCGGAAATACGTCTGCTGTTCGCAGGCAACCCCCGCAGGCGTTTTTAGGGGTCAGCTCGTATTTCTTTAGTCTGCGAAGAGCAGACGTATTTCCGGTCATTGCTTCTCTCCCTCTGAAAGTTCGCATAGCGGGCGCTTGGAAGTAGTGGGCACAAGAAAAAACGGGCGCGCGAGAAGGAGACACGCGAGCCCGTTCTCTCTTTCGCCCACTACTTCCAAGCGCAACAGGTGAGTCATTTAGTAAGGGTGTGATGGAATACAATAGCTTACAATGTTTGGTGCACCCTGGATAATAGCTATTTTTCACAGCTGATTTGAAACTTTAAAACAGACGAATTAATTAAAATGAATTAATACGTACAAGAAATTTACCATTGATTTTGAAAGTACAGTTTGTAGCATATCTTAATGATTTATCAAACCCTTAAATTCGCGAAACCCCCGATAACTGAAAAAAAAATGACTTCCCTTTCCCAGGCAAATAGTGGAATTTTATCTCGGTTTTTTTTCGAACTTCCAAATAAGTATAATATCCGCCGTGCTTACCTTCAACATCATATACTCCTTTCTTTCTTAACTTCAATGCACGTCTTATTGCGTCAACAGTTAAAGGATTATGACTCACACTCAGCCACCTCAGCTCCCTGAGGTCACTAATCTCAGCAGGTAGTTCAGTTAGTTTATTTCCATTCAAGTCCAGCCTTTTAAGCTTGGTCAGCCTCTGTATACTGGTAGGTAAACCAACCAACTGATTGTTCCTCACCTGCAGCACCCTCAGCTCCCTGAGGTCACCAATCTCAGCAGGTAGTTCAGTTAGTTTATTTCCACTCAAGTACAGCCTTTCAAGCTTGGTCAGCCTCTGTATACTGGTAGGTAAACCAACCAACTGGTTGTTACTCACCCACAGCCACCTCAGCTCCCCGAGGTCACCAATTTCAGCAGGTAGTTCAGTTAGTTTATTTCCATCCAAGTACAGCCAGTTAAGCTTGGTCAGCCTCTGTATACTGGTAGGTAAACCAACCAACTGGTTGTTCGTCACCCACAGCCCCCTCAGCTCCCTGAGGTCACCAATCTCAGCAGGTAGTTCAGTTAGTTTATTTCCATCCAAGTGCAGCCTTTGAAGCTTGGTCAGCCTCTGTATACTGGTAGGTAAACCAACCAACTGGTTGTTCCTCACCCACAGCACCCTCAGCTCCCTGAGGTCACCAATCTCAGCAGGTAGTTCAGTGATATTGTTGCTATTCAATTCGAGCACAATAAGATTTTTCAGCTCGCTGATACTTGCTGGTAATTTAATCAAGTTATTTTTTTCCAGCACAAGATTCTCTATTTCACTCAGTTCAGTGACTGCGTCAGGTACCCTGGATAGTCCTTTCTCTTTTAGATCCAAAACTGCTAATCCATCTTCATATTTTAAGTAAGCTCTCAATTTTGTATTGGAATAATGCTCCATGTTTCAAATTGTTAATAAAAAGTCTCGACAGTTCTTCTCACCATCTAGAAATAACAAATTAATAGTGACCTGGTATACAAAAATCAAAATCATATTACAGTATAGGTGAATTTTACAGAATCAAAATAAAAGAAATCTAGAACAGTCATGCTGTTAGTGGATTCAAAAAATCTTTTATTAGTAGACTAGGGTATCTAAAAGATAGTAATGCTGCGGGAAATTCTGTTGATAATGTCATTAGTTAGGCAGTGATCCATCTGCTTGCATGCGACTTAAAAGAATCAAAAATGACAATAAACTTTCCCCTTTCCTTGCTGTATAAAGCTCAAGGGTTTCTTTTCTGCTTTTAACTAGCTAACATTTTCTTCCATTAAGTGTCTCCTCTTTCTCATTTCAATTCAGTCTAAACTATTGTTGATGACCACCAAGAATGCAAAGATTGAGTCAGGTCATCTTAGGGAGGTCGTCACTTATAATATTGAATCAAACAACGGTGGGTCCCTTCCTAGAAGATTGAGATCCCAACACGTCTACATTTTGGAACAGAATTCATCGCGTGCAATTTCTAATCTGCAATATGTGTATAGTTTCATGGTGTCACTAAAAGATTTTCACATACTTTCAGTAGTGTACTACATACAACAAACAACAAAAAAATCACTGACCATGATACAAGGCAACAAATGATGTCATTATTGTGTACTGCTCAGACTGTTTGGAATAAAGGCCTTTAGAAACACTGATTCCCAATTGTGGCTACGTATGGGATGTGTATTATGGGTACGTGAACATGTTTGTGATCAGGTACATGTAATATAATAATTATATTACATCATAAGGTGACAAATGATTTGATTTCTGCGGATCTGGAAATAATCCCAGGAGGGGGTGGTTAATTGATTTTCAGTGGCAGGCAATGGGGATGCCTATTTGTCGTATTTATGCTTATTTGAGGGGGAAACAGTCTTATTTGAAGGGGTCGCTTATTTCATTTTTTAGTATTTCAGCCTCAAGATAGCATTTGTCTTTCTTTCACACAGACAAAAAAACTAAGCAATGAAACTACAACACATTTTTCAATAAATACCCAAGTGTGTTATGATCATGTCCTTAGCTTGGAACTTACCATTAAAACTATCCTCAAGCACTATAATTATTCAGAGGAGCTGAGTCATTAACATCTGATCCTGTGATGTCCCCAATCTCTTGTGACTGTAACTTTTATGCCACCCTTTTGAAAGATAAAAGTCCAGTATACCATGTATTTAGTAAGGCAGGGTGTTAAAGGTGGCCGCTTATATGAAGGGGAGGGACGGAAGCTTACACAAACACTATCCTATTACTGCGCATGTACCAAACTTAGATTTTCTGACAGGATGTTGAGAATTCAAAAGATCCACAAGGTGTTATAGAACCTTCCAAAATCTTTGCATCATGTTCGATTGAGTTACACCACTAAACCTTCTCAAAACTACAGATCAATGTTCCCATTAACTTTTGATTGTAGTGAAATTGGGAGTTTTTAGCGTTGCTTTCATTTAGATACAACAAAGAAATGGACAAGACATGGATGCCACTGAAAAGATCTTGCAACGACATCTTAGTAAAATTAAAAAAAACCTCCTTAACAAATATGACCAACTAAATTAACCAAACAGCTGGCCCTTGATGTATAGAAAAACAAGTGCAATGAAATCATAATAAATTATTATATTTGACTAATCTTTGAGATGCCTTCATCATGCAAAGATTGCATTTTTATTTACAATATTTTTATATTATTTTTTTCTTATTTTAACATTTGAAGCCTAAAAGGGTGGTACTTATTTGAATGGGGTGCCTATTTGAGGGGCGGAGGGAGGAGAGGGGGGTTAATTTGAGCAATTTAGGGTAATTAGTGCCTTGGGGTTGTCTATCTTAAGCAATGCATTGATGTCTTGATTATTGTTTTTATTGCCCAACTTTATTGTCTCAGGAATTCTGTTTTGCCGCAGTGAATTCTTGAGAATTCAGCAATTCAGCAGGGGAATTTTGCGATTTAATTTTTGGTCCAGGGATTCTTTCAGTTGTAGTAGGGAGGACAATGGATTTTTTCTCTTATATTCCACTGGCCTTAAATCTATGGTACCCCCTCAGGCAATATTAGATCATTATTTACCCCTGTAGCCTAGCTCTTTCTCTTGGGCAACACGGTCTGTCCGTATTTATGGCTAGTGACAGGCCAGGTAATCTAAGGTCTCTGATATACTTCCACTTCTTCTGCAATAGGTTCTTTGCATAACTTGATCACATGATCAACTTTCCATAAACATGAAAACAGTTCACTTTTGAAAAAGTTTTTAAGTAACCTAAGCATTTTCAGGCATATATCTCAAAAGTAACGATTGCAACGGCCGCCGAGACTTAGAAGCATTTGTATGGGAAAAGCAACTTTCAAATTACCTGTTGTGAATTAAAAGGAGATTTGAGCCCTGCAAGAGTGATTTTCTGCAAAATTGGAACTTCGGCCTGACATAATACCTCATCGATTTGGCTGATTGTTGGCATGTAGTCTTAGAATGGTGTCCTAAATACTGAATACATATTCTAAGGTTTGAATTCTCTCTGGTTTCAAAGATACAGGCATGACAGTTTTGATGAGGCCTCGACAGGCCGCCATGTTGGTAAACTGAAGAAGGTTTACAATAATTAATTCTTACCTTATCATTAAAATTTAACTTAATCGTGACTCATACAGTTGCAAAGAACTATCCTTCCTCCTTTCTTTTACCCGCTCTTCGCTGAAAATGGTTAAGCCTGAGCTATGAACAGCTATAACTTCTCACAGCACTTTTTCGGTACTTAAAAGGTACACAAATTTGGTAGAAATTGCGAGGTCAAAATCACCCATGCCACATGGATTTAGACTAACCCATTTTAACTAAACATAGTTTGTTTATAGATAAGTTAGATCACTGTTGAATAAAATAATTGGGCAAACGTAATAGAACAGAACGATAATTGCATGAATGCGCAATGGTTCAGCCACTTGACCGCTAAAACTTCCAAACAATTAATTCGGTGAATATTTGAAAAGAAAATTCTTAAAAATTGATCGTGCCTCTTAGAACCTATCTATCGCTTAAAAAACCCTCACTTGTAATGTAAAAAGATGATCTTTTGTTTCTGATGTTGCAAAGAGCTTCAAATATGCACTAAAATGAAAATTATAAATTTTGTTACTCACAGTTAACTATCTCAAGTTCACTCATTGATTTGTCAGACCAAGCGGGAGCCGCTCATGTGCACAGTTACAATTTTCTCTGTAGTATTTCGCTGTATACAGCTGCAAATAACATATTTTCTTAGGCAAAGATAACGCAGACTTTGTCAATTTTTATCAAAAGTCTAGAAAAACAAACCATGCACTGCGGCTTTACACAAATTATGTGGCATTAATTCAATATTACATGTGCAAACAGGAACCTACCTTTGCTTGTATGTACATTCGGCAGATCTTTCCAGCATAAGATATAAAACTAGTACATGAAATGAAATTAAAGAACTCATCAAGCCAAATTACTTGATTGTACCGTCATTACTGAATAAAAGTCCAAAAAATATGTCATGGAATGATCGGTGGGAGACAAAGCTATTTTTAGAAGGACACGGAACTGCACGCCGGAATAGAAGTGAAATGTACAACCTCAATCAAGTTCAGTCTTCTTGGCGCTATTAAACGTTTCACCCGGACTTTGAACAGAAAGTTGTTTTTTATTTTCTTTCTCATTTTTGCATGTATTCAGCAGTTTGCCCAGTATTTTCTCATAACTTTTAATTTTCTAGCAATCTGGAACCTTTAAGAATTCCCCACACATTTGAGTGAACTATCATTCATTCTGATTCACAATAATTTTCAAATGGTGACAAAGTGAAATTTGAAATGACATTTAATTTATGCTGATATTTTAAGCTTCTTTTTTTTTTCCCCGATAGCTAGAAATGTCTTGAATGTAAAGGCTGTAAAGTATTGGTGTTTTTCACGACTCTGCTTGTAGACTGACCTCACCACCAGTATTACATCATGGACATAAATTCTGATTCAAAAGGGTCAAAAAGTAACTGATGGGTCTCTGAAAAGCGAAATGCAGTCACTTTGGGGTGAGCAGGCTATATAGATGATGATCTCCTTGTTTATAACTCCATGACCACATCCCAAAAGTTTAGCCAGCCCGGGGCGAGCGAACACAATTTTGGCGCCACTGGCCACACCAGTATGTTTGGCGGGAAATTGGCTGATTAGTCAAATCTCCTTAACTCCATGACCATGCACCTTTCCAAATATTGCCCTTCTAATCATTAGATAGTTAGGACCTCCTGTAAGCATTTGCAACTATTTTGATTTTTGGAAGACTGTTATAACAGTTTCCATTACTTTCATGTCTCTGATCTCTCTCCCCCCTGCCCCCCCCCCCCCCAGCCCCGCACCAAATCCATAACAAAATATTTTCAGACCAACACTGAAGGTACGTACAAAAATATGACCATCTCGATGCAAGGTTCATCACTGTAACTTACCACATAAAAGCCTTTTCTTTGTTTGCCATCGACTGATTCTGTATACTGAGGTCCCATAAACAACGCCACATTTAAAAAGAGCCCGCCCTTTTCAATCCAAGAAAACCCAAGTAGTAATTTCACCAACGCACATAAGCCGCCGTAAAAAAGACAGGCTCAAATAGTTTATAACATCATAAGCACCTCATGAGACCATTTGCATGGCGTACATTTTGAAGAACATTTGAAAACAATTTGAATCTCTACCTTTATACCTTTATTAAAAATTAAAGTTGGATAGTTTTTTTAATAGGCGAATGACATTCTTTACAAGGAGTGGGGAAAGCAAAGCTCCACTTTTCCTTTCTAAGATAGAGAGTGTCAGCAAAACGTGAGAGCCGTCCTTGAGGGGA